AGTGTGTTGGATGGTGAAAAATATACAATAAGTATGTGGGAGTAATGATTCAAGAGGGGCCGATCCTAACTTCTCGACCCATTACTCATTCATTCTCGATTCAATATGTATTATAAATTTACGAGCAATTAAGTTGACCTACGATAACAAGTAAATAGTTTTATATCCTTTGTATTGCAACCACATGAATAGCTAATAATTACGTCTCGAGTGGACAACTATATTAGGTGCTTGTCAAACTTCAATCATCCCAAGGGAAATCTTATTAAGAACTTTTCCTCTTTTGACTTGTATTAAAATCAAATGTCCTTCTAGAGTTTGAATTGGTCAAAAGGTATGTGGTGAAGTAGTGGTTATCTTTCATTCTTAATCAAATATTTTAGGTTTGAGATTTGGATATGAAGTCCTTATTGATAGAAAATGTGGGATTTCTCAGTACGGATCAGGATTTAATCAAGGGTTCAACCAACTCTAAAGTAGAGTAGTCAAATAGGGAAATTCAAACAAAAAAGTACAGGAAAGGAAACCTTATTCGATGACCACTCCTCCTTCTGCATAGAGATAGGGTCGCCTATCAATCGACAGCTGCTGCAGCTGGTGGAATAAATCTACCCGGAGCTTCCGCTGGTTTTCAGATAGAAACTCCAATTTATCTTTCTGCTCGTTGGGAGAACTCTCAATGGATTGGTTTCCGGGAGTCGAGGTGGAAGTAGATGGGGACTGGGGAGAATAAAAAACCTCCTTATCGGAATTGGTCTCGTCCGATGCATGGCCGATGAGGGAGGCTCCAGAAGGAGAAGAAGCGGACGGAGACTCCGAGGGTTAGGGGATAGGTTTGGTCGAGAATTTCATTACCTAAGTACGCCACTATAGCCACTAAAAGGGTCATATCTTGTTGAAGAGGAAGTGAAAGGAGCGAGACCTTGCGGAGTAGGTACGGAAGGGGGGGCCTCTTCAGAGGTAGTTAAAACCCTTTATTTCAGGGAGGCAAGATAGGATCTTTCTTTTAGGATAGGACCACATACCCTAATTGAGACCCGGAGGGAGGCTGGATCTACTCTAAAGTAGAGTAGCTGTACTTGCCTTTTTCTTAGAGTGGATTGAGGAAGAAGTGGAACTCAGATGAGAACATAGAGAGCATTTTACCTTCAATTAGTGGTGGAGTTAGTAATTTAGTGAAGGGTGTACAAATTTTCTTTCTAAGTTTTGTCAAGAGTATGTAAAATTAAATATATGCTCATAATAGCTATCATTTAACCTCTATACACCATATAATTATCCGGCAAAGAGTGTGTACCTAACTCCTTCCCCTAAGGTGGCTCGGCCGATGCTCCCAACACTAGACTTTCTGGTAAGAATCTGAATTTAATCAGACTTCAATATAAGTACCGGACATCACAGGAGACCACGAAAAAAGAGATTCAAAAAGCATTAACTCCATTGAGAAGTGGGACACTATATACTCATAACTAACCAGTCAAAAATATCAACTTTATAATACCAATTCCTTTAGGTAATCTTCAACTCCATCCACACATACCAAGTCATGTTTTTCATGTCTTGTGGACAAATAGAAACAGCCAATTCCTTAATACCAAAAAAATAAATATTCCAAGTTAGACCTTTATCAAGGCTCCATTTGTCCTATAAATAGAGAAGAAACTAAAGCAACAAACATATGATCTTATTTTTTTTGTATCAATAAAATGGCTAACATTATGTTATGTTGTATTGTCTTTTGTCTTGCCCTTTGTTCTGGTGTAATGGCACACCCTCCCTCTAAAGGTGTCAAAGGTGCATATTACCCTTCATGGGCATTTTCAACTTTCCCACCATCATCCATAGACACATCTTTGTTCACTCATATCTACTATGCATTCCTTGTACCAAACAACACAACATTTAAATTTGATATTGACGATGAAACCTCCACTCTCCTCCTCAACTTCACCTCCACCCTCCGGTCCAAAAGACCGTCTGTCAAGACACTCTTTTCGGTTGGGGGAGGAGGTGAAGGACCGGCTAGGTTCTCGCGTATGGCATCAACATCTGCCTCTCGTTTGTCTTTTATAAAATCTAGCATAGAGGTAGCTAGAAAATATAAATTTGATGGATTTGATCTTGACTGGGAATTCCCTCAGAACAATAAGGACATGGAGAATTTCGCGATTTTAGTAAGCGAATGGAGGGTTGAGGTTAAAAAAGAATCTTTGGCTACAAAAAGGCCACAACTTTTGATCACAGCAGCTGTTTACTTCTCTGTTGACTTCTTCCTATGGGGTGAATTTAGATCATATCCTGTGCCTTCAATTAACAAGAACTTGGATTGGATCAACTTAATGTTCTACGATTATCGTGGATCATGGGACACGTCTGCCACTGGTGCACAAGCAGCATTATTCGACACGAAAAGTAATGTTAGTACAAGTTATGGACTAAGTACTTGGATCAAAGCAGGGGCCTTAAGAAGCAAATTGATAATGGGATTGCCACTTTATGGTAGGACATGGAAATTGAAAGATCCAAATGTTGATGGAATTGGTGCACCAGCAGTTGGTGTTGGTCCTGGTGATGAAGGGACATTAACTTATAGGGAAATTGAGAAATTCAATGAGGAAAATAATGCTAAAGTTGTATATGATTCTGCTACTGTTTCTGCTTATTCTGTGGCTGGAACTTCTTGGATTGGCTTTGATGACACTAACTCTGTTGCAAGGAAGTTACACTATGCTCAATCACAAAGACTTAGAGGCTACTTTTTTTGGGCTGTTGCTGGTGATAAAGATTGGAAAATCTCAAGAACAGGTAACTTGCTTTACACTTATTTTACGAAAAAAGTATTCAACTCGTATACACTGACAGTGTCGACAATTTCTTACACTAGTATTTCACATTTTAACTTGTTGTCGCAGTATATAAGTTAAATCCTACTAAAAAGAAGATGTAGCATATAGATATTTGCTAAATCACAATCGAATTAAATCTCTTACGGAGACTTACTTTATTCTTTTTCTTATTGTGTAGCTAAGCAATCATGGATTATTTCCTAAGAGATGAAGGGGGGAACAAGACTCTTCCTTTGGACTTATATATATATATATAATATATATATATATTTTGTTTGTGAAAGTGTATTGAAGCTGAATAGTTCATCTTTTTTTTATTTATGCACTATATATATGTTGTACCATTTAGTTATATGTACTTTCAGCTAATAAAGTTTATTTTAAGTGTAAGAGAATACAAACTTTTAACTTTGAAATTTGTTGGATGAACACTCAAATGTAACTTGTACTCCTCTAGTTCAAATTTTCTTAACATTTCCCAAAAAGAACAACAAGAAATGCATCAAATATAAATCATAATTCGTCTTAGTACTAATTCAAGTGTGAATTGTAAATAGAAATTAATGGAGAAAGTATATCAAATAAACTCAATCAAATGATCCACTGATCGATAAGTATTCCCTCTCATAGACCGTGTGGCTGCACCTCAGATTTCATCACGATCCCATGCCATAGAAGCTGAAATTATTATGATCAATTGTTAAGTTTTCAACTGTCGATGCCATAATTTATAAACAGTATGCTGATTATGAAAAAAATAACTAGGCATATGTCTATGGATTTAAGTTATATACACTGACATACTGTATATAGCTGGTTAATTACCATTTTGTTAGTTTACCTTATAAGTGCCCAGATTGTGTAAGTTATACCATCAGTGCATAGAACTTAAACTCTACGTCTAGAAATGGAAGAAGTTTAGAAATTTTACCTGTTCTTGAAAGAGTCCAGTTGCTGTCAGAGCCAAGTGCCCAAAAAAAGTAACCACCAAGACCCTGAGCCTTAGCATACTTGATCTTGGCTCTGATGGAGTTCGTATCGTCATATCCAATCCAATTTGTTCCAGAATATGAATATGTTGAAACTGTTTCATTATTGTATACTACAGAGGCATTGTTTTCTGAATTGAATGTTACTATATCGTCATACGACATTTCTCCGTGAGTTCCAGGACCAACTCCTACTGCAGGAGCTCCGATTCCGTGATCATTTGGATCCTTCAATTCCCATGTATTTCCATATAAGGGAATTCCCATGACTAACTTTGTTGAAGGAACCCCATTTTGTTTCCAGGATGAAATTCCGTAGCTTGTGCTAATATTGCTAGACTTATCGTATAACAAGGCCGGAGCACCAGTTGCTGAAGTGTCCCAAGAACCTTGGTAGTTATAGCACATAGGGCTCAAGAAATCAAGATAGTTGCTTAGAGCTTCTGTGGGATAAATTGTACCCGATAAGAGAACGTTTGGGGAGAAGTAAACAGCAGCAGACAGGATTAGTGGAGGTTTGGAGGAAGCTAGTGACTCTATGTTGATGGCGAGGCGCCATTCTTTGAGGAGCAATGCTAGATTGAGCATGTTTTCTGAGTCGATAGGAAATTCCCAATCAAGATCAAGGCCATCAAAGCCGTAATTTCTGGATACATCTATCGTTGATTTGATGAATGCAGCGCGATTATCTGGGCAACTCATCATACTAGGGAGTAGTGGAGAACCTGTATCTCCTCCTATTGATAGCATTGCCTTTGTTGCAGGGCTATGGGAATGGATGATGGATGTGAAGTTAATCATTGATTGCTCGTCAACTTGGCTTACGAGCAACTGGAACGATGTATTATCAGGCACAGCAAATGCGTAGAAAATGTGGGTGAAATATGCAGTAGGGATGCTTGATGGAGGAGCTTTTTCAGCTAGCCATGAAGGCCAATATGCACCTTTGATGCCAGAAGGCAGAGGTGCAGGTCCAGGAGCTGGAGCAGGTGTATCGGGATATGGTACTGAGGCAGGGACTGGAGGCATAGATAGTGGAGCTGGAGCTGGAGGCATCATTGGTGGACTAGAGATGGGAAATAAAGGCTTGGATGGTGAAGGTGGACTAAAGTAGGGAACAGATGGTGAAATAGAGGGGGGTGTTACAGGCATGTACGGTGGAATAATGGCTGGAAATGGAGGCATAGATGGTACAAGGAAGATCGGATTGAAAGGTGGGGATGGTGGACTGGTGGCTGGAAGTGGAGGCATGGATGGTACAGGGAATATAGGTATAGAAGGTGGGGATGATGGACTAGTGCTTGGAAATGGAGGCAGTGATGGTATAGGCAAGCCTGGAATTAGAGGCGAGGACGGTGAACTAGGCGACCCTGGAAATGCAGGCACGAATGGTATAGGGAAGCGTGGAGCTAGAGGCGGGGATGATGGACTAGTGCTTGGAAATGGAGGTAGTGAAGGTATAGGCAATCCCGGAGTTAGAGGCGAGGACGGTGAACTAGGAGAGCCTGGAAATGGAGGCACAAGTGGTATAGGAAAGCCTGGAACTATAGGCAGGGACGATGGACTAGTGCTTGGAAATGGAGGCATTGATGGTATAGGCAAACCTGGAATTAGAGGCGAGGAAGGTGAACTAGGAGATCCTGGAAATGAAGGCACAATTGGTATAGGGAATCCTGGAACTAGAGGTGGACTAGTGCTTGGAAATGGAGGCAGTGATGGTATAGGTATGCCTGGAATTAGAGGCAAGGACGGCGAACCTGGAACAAAAGGTGCAGATCGTGGACTAGCGCCTGGAAATGGAGGCACAGATGGTATTGGAAAGGTGGGAACAGACGGTGGACTAGTGCCTGGAAATGGAGGCATCTCAGATGGTGCAAAGCGCGACGGGAGTAGAGGTGGCATTGTACCAGAAAATGGTGAAGGAGACACAGAAATAGGACTTGATGCAAAACACACATGAAAATTAGCACCAACAACAACAACAACCAAAAAAGTTGACAACATTTGTACTACTGCAGCCATATTTTGTTATTCACTAGTCCTTCACCAACAATAACATACATGAAAATGAGATTTATATAAACTATATACTATATACTAAAACAAGATGAGAAAATAAAAACAGAAATTGCCAATGTGCTATCTTTGGTAACTACATTATTTGTTTCTCATGTTTTCTTATAATATAATTACATTGATGTAACAATATTGTTAAAACCTCTGATTTTATCGACATATATATCTCTGTCACACAAAAGTTAATTATTCTAATTTGATTTTGGATCTTCCTATGCCAGCTTTATCATAGTCAAGTATATTAATTTCTCCAATTTAGCAAACAAAACATTGTTGGACCAACAATGTGGTTATTATATGTAAGAAGGAAGATAATAGTTACATATGTATCTTTTGCACTCTTGGTTTGTAATCTAGGTGTTTGTTTTTGTAATAATCGAATCTTTTGCTTTTACTTTCTAGTTTGATTTTGTAATTTTTATTTTGATAATGCTAATAATAATTTATTTCATATTAAGTAGCTTTTTAATTGATCATCATTGTTTAATTCAAATGTCATCAAGATATTTTGATATATCACAACTAAATCTTTAATTTTTTTAATATAAAAAGAATCATGTTGGCTAAATTCTTGGAAAATGCAAACGATTTCTTGAAGAAAGCTACATATATAACTTGATTATATATATTTCCTTTTTTTTCTTAAAGAATAATTGATTTAATAGTGTTGGACTATAAATATGTGTTTAAAAGTATATTAATTATCATACACTTAATTGATTTGATTTTGGTTCCAAAAATATTTGAAAGATCAAATTGATTGATTTGGTTTGATTCCAGCATTTGAAATTATGACTTAATTGATTTGATTTCTTTTTAGTGAAAAACAAACTCAAACCGAATTGTTCTTTAAGGAATTTTTAGAAATGAACAAGAAAGTGATTGTTGAAATATTCTAGTAAGATGAGACTTATCTCTAGCTTTATTATATGTTTTGGGTTTCAAATCTCAGTCTCATGAAAAAATTAAAGTGATATTATTTAGACTTGTTGAAAATAGTTTAAGGAGGATGTGTTCAAATTTGTATATATGTTATTTTTAAAAAAATTAACACCTCCAAAAAAAAATATGAAAGAAATTACATTAAATAGTAATAGTATCTAGATCATAATTAAAGGGATGGAAAGTCATTAAACTTAAAAAGATTTACTATCCAAATAATTAAAGGTAATCTCATTAAAGAAAATAGTAAGTTAATCATTTCTTAATACTATATAAGATAAGCATGGTGCTTCATCATTTTCATTATCAAAAATACATTTTTGAAGAAATTATAACAAAAAAAAAAAAAAAAGATGGCAGCCTCTTTGTCTTTGTTTAAAGTTGTGCTTCTTCTTGTGCTATTTTTCATGGGCAATGCAGGTATATAATCTCTTTGCTTTATTCTTTCTTTACCAATGAAGAATGTTAAGAGATAAAAAAATATTTTTAAATTTTTTTTATATATCCTTTTTTCAAATAATCACTCAATCAACTATATCGCAAATCATTAACATGAGTTGTGGTGAGGTTCAGGGGCGGAGCCAACAGTCAGGGGTTCACCCGAACCCCCTTCGACGAAAAATCTTACTATTTATATATGGTTAAAATTATTTTTTTATGTATATAAAGTAGATGTCAAACCCCCTTCGATTAGTTTGTATGTTTACTTTTTCATATTTTGAACCCCCTTATTAAAAACCCTAGCTCCGCCACTGATGAGGTTATTCATGATCTCATCATCTTTACCTAGATGTATCGAGTTTGAGATTTTATAAATAGAAAAAACATGTTAATTCGGATTTAGTTAAACCACAATACAATTACTGAATATCATATGGGCCAAAAAAATAAAACTAGTTGAGATATATATGGTCAGATGAATCAGATCTCTTTCATCTTTAATTAGAGATCTTGAATCTAATTATGAACCTTACGCGGCATGAATCTGAATTAATCAAAATTTATTATTCTCTTTTATTTATTTTAATTTTATTTAAATTCTTATTTATTTTATTATTATGACAGAGGCAAATATTTGTCAAGAGCAAAGCAAAACATTCAAGGGACCATGTGTAGAACAGGCAAAGTGTACAAGTGCCTGCCAAAGTGAGGGCTTTCAATTTGGAGAGTGTAGTAACTCCATTTGCTATTGCACAAAGCCATGTCCTCCCAATAATCAATAATAAATATATTTTTTATTACTTTTTAATTATCATTGTACTTTTATGAGGCTCAAATAAATATATAAATCTACTTTGATGGTCAATCTATATCTATTTATTCTTGTTGTTTATATAGTATGATGATATGACATAGTTCTTCTCACAAAATGAGATGAATACTATGAATTGGGGCACTAATTTATTTATTTTACATTTCCTTCTTAAACTAAACACAATCAATTATATCGCAAATCAAAACTAGTTGAGATTAGTTACAAAATAGCATCATGGGATATATTGTGATGCATAATATCTCTCAGATTTCTATGTCCTTAACTAGAGATCTCAGATTTTAGCTATGAAACGGAGATTAAATCTGGTAGCTAAAGAGTGTTTCCTCCTTTAATAAATTTTATTGCACAATACGAATGTAAATTGAAACAATCACTCAAATCAACTATACCACAAATCAAATCAAGTAGAGATTAGTTATGAACTTATTAGCATCACGAGACACAGTGGATGCATAAAATCTCTCCATCCTTAATTAGAGACATTAAGTTCTAGTTAAGAAATGAATATTTCTGGTAACTAGAAAGTGTTTCCTCCTTAAATGAACTTTATTTATTGCATGATGACACAAATATAAATTAGTCGAATCAGTAAAAGAATTGACAATTTTCTCTTTGCCCATCTTCTTCTTCTTCTCATTTTCATATAGAAAAGAGGGAAGGGAGGAGGAGATGAAGCTATAGCCTCATACAAGGGTTAACATAGTTTAAGACCATAGGTGCTCAACAACACACTCAGTTTAATCCCACTCATAGGATCTGGAGAAAATGGCGTGTATGAAACTTTACCCCTACCTTGTGAAGATAGAGAAGTTGTCTCGAATAGACCTTCAACGCAAGTAACAATTCCATATGTGCTGAATTTGAAATATTGGAAGATTTTGTCTCAGAAGCAAAGTGTAATAGATAAACCACATTTAGTTTCACTTCAACATATTGTTTTTTTTACCTCCATTCACATGTATGACTACCATATAAGGATCAAATGATCTATATCACTATGTAACTAGTGAAATTCCAAAATCAAGAAGTTGACAAAAAAAATTAATTTAAAAAAATAGCAGAATACATTTCGTTTGTAACTAAAACGAAAAATCAAAAAGGTTCCTACAAGCATTCTTCAAGGAAGAAAACTTAGTATATCCCCCTTGACACAAATGTGTTGAACCCTCCTCAGGCTTGTAGTTCTGTAGCAGAAAGAAGACCAACTTCACACTGAATGGTGCAGCTATCATGAATCGTGCACGCACTTCAAATTCTTTTCGTTAGCATTTACAAGAACTCAACACGCAGAGATCAGTTTTGCTTTTCTCTCATCCACTCAACAAAATTATCCAAAATCACAGGCCATGCTTGGTCGAGATCGTAGTTTTCAAGGTCTGGAAAGCTAACCTGCAAAAATACAAAAGAATGACCACCTATTAGAATTTAGATTCATGACAAAATTCAAATTTTAAAGATTACTTGAGAAATCAATTAGTAAAGAGATTCAATAAAATGAAAAATGTTGCAGCTAAAGATAGGAACCTATGTCAAGGGGATCCAATACAAGAAAATTATCATTTCTACCCTTCCTCCACAGCACAATTTTTCGGCTAAGGGGATTCAATTGAACCCCCTTTACCAAAAGGTGCCACTACTGGTGCTCCTGTATGCGTCTGATCATAGTGCGAAAGGTAGTTGATAGAAACAAAAGAAGCAGGATCCAGAAAGGTAAAGTGAAATCGTTTGTTCTGCTAGATTAGCATTTGCATAACTCGGTAAGTGAGAAGTGGGCAATATAGAACAAAATTATTTGTATGGTCCTCAATGTTTGGCATAAGTTTGAATTTGGTCCCATTCGTCTAATCATATCACCCTGAATTACATAGTTTGAGATTGGTGTTTATATAGTGCCTTAGGTCATTGACAGCCAAATAAAAAATGTAAACTAGAAAATGGAAAGGAGAATCCGAACGAAAATAGGAAAAGAGAGGCAGACATGGAACATATTTTAAGTTGGTGTCGGCTATATGAGCTCTCACGAACCACATTTCCTTCTAAGCTAGAAGGAATTATATAACATAAATAGTTTACCTCTTGGCAAAATCGAAGAAAATTCATCCATTGATCCATGTTGATCACCTTATAATCAGTCTGATTCTAGTATGAAGGAAAAGACAGAGAATCAGTGCTGTCAAATTAATAAGACATAAAAAATTAAAAACTAACATCATTGTTATAACTTAATTTTCCTAACAGTTTAAAAGCCTAAACGCTAGGGTCCTTCGGGCAATTATATCATAAACTATGCATATGTGATGCCAAAAGATATTCAGAACATGTGAGTACCTACCTTGAGAAACTCACTAAATGAGTCAACCTGAGCCCGGAATTGGGGCCCCAAAACAAGATCAATCAGTAGACAAATGCTCTCGATGTCCACACACTTCTGCTTATCCTCTGAGAAAGACAAACCAGGCACATGTTAGTAAATGTATTAGCTTAATAGAGATTAATGCGACATACACGAAAAAAATATGAAACCTACTAGGCTACATATTTGTTTATCAAAGAAAAGTTTACCAGTAAGGCAGTAACGAAAAGCGTAGGAATAAAAATCCTCAAAATTTTCAGGCATCATAACCTGAATATGTAAATGATCCAAGGTCAGCTACATGAGCATTAGA